CACTGAGGGTCATCCTACAGGGTTCAGTGTCAATCACTGAGGGTCATCCTACAGGGTTCAGTGTCAATCACTGAGGGTCATCCCACAGGGTTCAGTGTCAATCACTGAGGGTCATCCTACAGGGTTCAGTGTTAATCACTGAGGGTCATCCCTCAGTGGTCAAACACTGAGGGTCATCCTACAGGGTTCAGTGTCAATCACCGAGGGTCATCCTACAGGGTTCAGTGTTAATAACTGAGGGTCATCCCACAGGGTTCATCACTGAGGGTCATCCTACAGGGTTCAGTGTCAATCACTGAGGGTCATCCTACAGGGTTCAGTGTCAATCACTGAGGGTCATCCTACAGGGTTCATCACTGAGGGTCATCCTACAGGGTTCAGTGTCAATCACTGAGGGTCATCCTACAGGGTTCAGTGTCAATCACTGATGGTCATCCTACAGGGTTCATCACTGAGGGTCATCTTACAGGGTTCAGTGTTCATCACTGAGGGTCATCCTACAGCGTTCAGTGTTCATCACTGAGGGTCAATCTACAGGGTTCATCACTGAGGTTCATCCTACAGGGTTCAGTGTTCATCACTGAGGGTCATCCTACAGGGTTCAGTGTTCATCACTGATGGTCATCCCACAGTGTTCATCACTGAGGGTCATCCTACAGGGTTCAGTGTCAATCACTGAGGGTCATCCCACAGGGTTCAGTGTCAATCACTGAGGGTCATCCTACAGGGTTCAGTGTTCATCACTGAGGGTCATCCTACAGGGTTCAGTGTCAATCACTGAGGGTCATCCTACAGGGTTCAGTGTCAATCACTGATGGTCATCCCACAGGGTTCATCACTGAGGGTCATCCTACAGGGTTCAGTGTTCATCACTGAGGGTCATCCTACAGGGTTCAGTGTCAATCACTGAGGGTCATCCTACAGGGTTCAGTGTTAATCACTGAGGGTCATCCTACAGGGTTCAGTGTTCATCACTGAGGGTCATCCTACAGGGTTCAGTGTTCATCACTGAGGGTCATCCTACAGGGTTCAGTGTTCATCACTGAGGGTCATCCTACAGGGTTCAGTGTTAATCACTGAGGGCCATCCTACAGGGTTCAGTGTTCATCACTGAGGGTCATCCTCCAGGGTTCAGTGTTCATCACTGAGGGTCATCCCACAGGGTTCAGTGTCAATCACTGAGGGTCATCCTACAGGGTTCAGTGTTCATCACTGAGGGTCATCCTACAGAGTTCATCACTGAGGGTCATCCCACAGGGTTCAGTGTTCATCACTGATGGTCATCCCACAGGGTTCAGTGTTCATCACTGAGGGTCATCCTACAGGGTTCAGTGTCAATCACTGAGGGTCATCCTACAGGGTTCAGTGTTCAACACTGAGGGTCATCCCACAGGGTTCATCACTGAGGGTCATCCTACAGGGTTCAGTGTTCATCACTGAGGGTCATCCTACAGGGTTCAGTGTTCATCACTGAGGGTCATCCTACAGGGTTCATCACTGAGGATCATCCTACAGGGTTCAGTGTCAATCGCTGAGGGTCATCCCACAGGGTTCATCACTGAGGGTCATCTCACAGGGTTCAGGGTTCATCACTGAGGGTCATCCTACAGGGTTCAGTGTTCATCACTGAGGGTCATCCTACAGGGTTCAGTGTTCATCACTGAGGGTCATCCTACAGGGTTCAGTGTCAATCACTGAGGGTCATCCTACGGGGTTCAGTGTCAATCACTGAGGGTCATCCTACAGGGTTCAGTGTCAATCACTGAGGGTCATCCTACAGGGTTCAGTGTCAATCACTGAGGGTCATCCTACAGGGTTCAGTGTCATCACTGAGGGTCATCCTACAGGGTTCAGTGTTCATCACTGAGGGTCACACTACAGGGTTCAGTGTTCATCACTGAGGGTCATCCTACAGGGTTCATCACTGAGGGTCATCCCACAGGGTTCAGTGTCAATCACTGAGGGTCATCTTACAGGGTTCATCACTGAGGGTCATCCCACAGGGTTCAGTGTCAATCACTGAGGGTCATCCTACAGGGTTCAGTGTTCATCACTGAGGGTCATCCCACAGGGTTCAGTGTTAATCACTGAGGGTCATCCTACAGGGTTCAGTGTCAATCACTGAGGGTCATCCTACAGGGTTCAGTGTTCATCACTGAGGGTCATCCTACAGGGTTCAGTGTCAATCACTGAGGGTCATCCTACAGGGTTCAGTGTCAATCACTGAGGGTCATCCTACAGGGTTCAGTGTCAATCACTGAGGGTCATCCTACAGGGTTCAGTGTCAATCACTGAGGGTCAACCTACAGGGTTCAGTGTTCATCACTGAGGGTCACACTACAGGGTTCAGTGTTCATCACTGAGGGTCATCCTACAGGGTTCATCACTGAGGGTCATCCCACAGGGTTCAGTGTCAATCACTGAGGGTCAAATTACAGGGTTCGGTGTTCATCACTGAGGGTCATCCCACAGGGTTCAGTGTCAATCACTGAGGGTCATCCTACAGGGTTCAGTGTTCATCACTGAGGGTCATCCCACAGGGTTCAGTGTCAATCACTTAGGGTCATCCTACAGGGTTCAGTGTTCATCACTGAGGGTCATCCTACAGGGTTCAGTGTTCATCACTGAGGGTCATCCTACAGGGTTCATCACTGAGGGTCATCCTACAGGGTTCAGTGTTCATCACTGAGGGTCATCCTACAGGGTTCAGTGTTCATCACTGAGGGTCATCCTACAGGGTTCAGTGTTCATCACTGAGGGTCATCCTACAGGGTTCATCACTGAGGGTCATCCCACAGGGTTAATCACTGAGGGTCATCCTACAGGGTTCAGTGTTCATCACTGAGGGTCATTCTACAGGGTTCAGTGTTCATCACTGAGGGTCATCCTACAGGGTTCAGTGTTCATCACTGAGGGTCATCCTACAGGGTTCAGGGTTCATCACTGAGGGTCATCTTACAGGGTTCATCACTGAGGGTCATCCTACCGGGTTCAGTGTTCATCACTGAGGGTCATCCTACAGGGTTCAGTGTCAATCACTGAGGGTCATCCTATAGGGTTCAGTGTTCATCACTGAGGGTCATCCTACAGGGTTCATCACTGAGGGTCATCCCACAGGGTTCAGTGTCAATCACTGAGGGTCATCCCACAGGGTTCAGTGTTCATCACTGAGGGTCATCCTACAGGGTTCAGTGTTAATCACTGAGGGTCATCCCACAGGGTTCAGTGTTCATCACTGAGGGTCATCCTACAGGGTTCAGTGTTAATCACTGAGGGTCATCCCACAGGGTTCATCACTGAGGGTCATCCCACAGGGTTCAGTGTTCATCACTGAGGATCATCCTACAAGGTTCAGTGTCAATCACTGAGGGTCATCCCACAGGGTTCAGTGTCAATCACTGAGGGTCATCCTACAGGGTTCAGTGTCAATCACTGAGGGTCATCCTACAGGGTTCAGTGTCAATCACTGAGGGTCATCCTACAGGGTTCAGTGTCAATCACTGAGGGTCATCCTACAGGGTTCAGTGTCAATCACTGGAGGTCATCCTACAGGGTTCAGTGTTCATCACTGAGGGTCATCCTACAGGGTTCAGTGTTCATCACTGAGGGTCATCCCTCAGGGTTCAGTGTCAATCACTGAGGGTCAACCTACAGGGTTCATCACTGAGGGTCATCCCACAGGGTTCAGTGTTAATCACTGAGGGTCATCCTACAGGGTTCAGTGTTAATCACTGAGGGTCATCCTACAGGGTTCATCACTGAGGGTCATCCCACAGGGTTCAGTGTCAATCACTGAGGGTCATCCTACAGGGTTCAGTGTCAATCACTGAGGGTCATCCTACAGGGTTCAGTGTCAATCACTGAGGGTCATCCTACAGGGTTCAGTGTCAATCACTGAGGGTCATCCCACAGGGTTCAGTGTCAATCACTGAGGGTCATCCTACAGGGTTCAGTGTTAATCACTGAGGGTCATCCCTCAGTGGTCAAACACTGAGGGTCATCCTACAGGGTTCAGTGTCAATCACTGAGGGTCATCCTACAGGGTTCAGTGTTAATAACTGAGGGTCATCCCACAGGGTTCATCACTGAGGGTCATCCTACAGGGTTCAGTGTCAATCACTGAGGGTCATCCTACAGGGTTCATCACTGAGGGTCATCCTACAGGGTTCAGTGTTCATCACTGAGGGTCATCCCTCAGTGACAATCACTGAGGGTCATCCTACAGGGTTCAGTGTTAATCACTGAGGGTCATCCCACAGGGTTCATCACTGAGGGTCATCCTACAGGGTTCAGTGTCAATCACTGAGGGTCATCCCACAGTGTTCATCACTGAGGGTCATCCCACAGGGTTCAGTGTCAATCACTGAGGGTCATCCTACAGGGTTCAGTGTTCATCACTGAAGGTCATCCTACAGGGTTCAGTGTCAATCACTGAGGGTCATCCTACAGGGTTCAGTGTTCATCACTGAGGGTCATCCTACAGGGTTCAGTGTTAATCACTGAGGGTCATACTACAGGGTTCATCACTGAGGGTCATCCTACAGGGTTCAGTGTCAATCACTGAGGGTCATCCTACAGGGTTCATCACTGAGGGTCATCCTACAGGGTTCAGTGTCAATCACTGAGGGTCATCCCTCAGTGTTCATCACTGAGGGTCATCCCACAGGGTTCAGTGTCAATCACTGAGGGTCATCCTACAGGGTTCAGTGTCAATCACTGAGACTCACAGTGAGCACATCCATAATGCTGTGAACCCGGCGACATAAGTTCAATTCCCAGACACAGCTAACATCCGTCTTGTACTGTGCCTCCCTTAGAGGCTACCTGGGGGAGCTTTGTCTGTGTGTGTGCATCATAGGTGGTGCTACTCGCCACTATCAGCACTTGCCCCTACAGCCCTGCTAGAGGCTACCTGGGGGAGCTTTGTCTGTGTGTGTGCATCATAGGTGGTGCTACTCGCCACTATCAGCACTTGCCCCTACAGCCCTGCTAGAGGCTACCTGGGGGAGCTTTGTGCCGCGCGCCATGCTGGGACTGCTCGTGAGCCCCCGCCGCCCTCTCTGGGGGGGCTCCCCCCGTCCGGGACCCCCCCCAGACCCCTGCGAGGGGGTCCCGGCAACCCCTCCAACCCCTCCCACCCCGGAGGGTCCCGTGACCTCCGGCTGCCTGCAGATCTCCAGCGTCATGTGAGACCCCCCCCCTCATCCCCCCACTCCCCCCTTACCCCCCCCCCCTCATCCCCCTACCCCCCCTCATCCCCCCCTTACCCCCCCCCCCCATCCCCCTACTCTCACCTTACCCCCCCATCCCCTTACCCCCCGTTACCCCCCCCTCATCCCCCCCGGACAGGGATAGCGCTCGTGTTAGGGGGTAGATGATGTAGCTGATGATGTAGCTGATGATGTAGCTGATGATGTAGCTGATGATTCTGCTACTGATGATGATGTAGATGATGATAATAATGCTGCTACTGATGATGCTGATGATGCTACTGATGATGATGTAGATGATGATAATAATGCTGCTACTGATGATGCTGATGATTCTGCTACTGATGATGATGTAGATGATGATGATGCTGCTACTGATGATTATGTAGATGATGATGCTACTGATGATGATGTAGATGATGATAATAATGCTGCTACTGATGATGCTGATGATGCTACTGATGATGATGATGATGTAGATGATGATGCTGCTAATGATGATGATGTAGATGATGATGTAGATGATGCTACTGCGGATGATGATGATGATGTAGATGATAATGATGATGTGGATGATGATGCTACTGATGATGATGATGATGATTCTGCCGCTACAGAGAGGCTGAGGCAGAGGTGATGTGTTGCCGGTTCAGCCCCGATGGCTCGCTGGTGGCAATGGGCCTGGCTAACGGCACCATCAAGGTAACCACCACCGTGTCGGCCTGGCACACAGGAGTGCGTGGGTTCAATCCCGGACCCTGACGATGTCTATGTGGAGTCTGCGTCTCTCTCTCATCATCACCACGGTGGCTATGAGATGTTAACTACCTCGCCTGGTCTACAGGAGGTCTGTGTCTCTCTCATCATCACCACGGTGGCTATGAGATGTTAACTACCTCGCCTGGTCTACAGGAGGTCTGTGTCTCTCTCTCATCATCACCACGGTGGCTATGAGATGTTAACTACCTCGCCTGGTCTACAGGAGGTCTGTGTCTCTCTCTCATCATCACCACGGTGACTATGAGATGTTAACTACCTGGCCTGGTCTACAGGAGGTCTGTGTCTCTCATCATCATTACGGTGACTGAGATGTTAACTACCTCGCCCGGTCTACAGGAGGTCTGTGTCTCTCATCATCACCACGGTGGCTATGAGATGTTAACTACCTCGCCCGGTACACAGGAGGTCTGTGTCTCTCATCATCACCACGGTGGCTATGAGATGTTAACTACCTCGCCCGGTACACAGGAGGTCTGTGTCTCTCATCATCATCATCACCACGGTGACTATGAGATGTTAACTACCTCGCCTGGTATACAGGAGGTCTGTGTCTCTCTCATCATCACCACGGTGACTATGAGATGTTAACTACCTCGCCTGGTATACAGGAGGTCTGTGTCTCTCTCTCATCATCACCACGGTGGCTATGAGATGTTAACTACCTCGCCTGGTCTACGGGAGGTCTGTGTCTCTGTATCATCATCACCAGGGTGACTATGAGATGTTAACTACCTCACCTGGTACACAGGAGGTCTGTGTCTCTCTCTCATCATCACCACGGTGGCTATGAGATGTTAACTACCTCGCCTGGTCTACAGGAGGTCTGTGTCTCTCATCATCACCACGGTGACTATGAGATGTTAACTACCTCGCCTGGTCTACAGGAGGTCTGTGTCTCTAATCATCATCACGGTGACTATGAGATGTTAACTACCTCGCCTGATCTACAGGAGGTCTGTGTCTCTCATCACCACGGTGGCTATGAGATGTTAACTACCTCGCCTGGTCTACAGGAGGTCTGTGTCTCTCTCTCATCATCACCACGGTGGCTATGAGATGTTAACTACCTCGCCTGGTATACAGGAGGTCTGTGTCTCTCTCTCATCATCATCACCACCATGGTGGCTATGAGATGTTAACTACCTCGCCTGGTCTACAGGAGGTCTGTGTCTCTCTCTCATCATCACCACGGTGGCTATGAGATGTTAACTACCTCGCCTGGTCCACAGGAGGTCTGTGTCTCTCATCATCATCACGGTGACTATGAGATGTTAACTACCTCGCCTGGTCTAAAGGAGGTCTGTGTCTCTCTCTCATCATCACCACGGTGGCTATGAGATGTTAACTACCTCGCCTGGTATACAGGAGGTCTGTGTCTCTCTCTCATCACAGTGACTATGAGATGTTAACTACCTCGCCTGGCTACAGGAGGTCTGTGTCTCTCATCATCACCACGGTGACTATGAGATGTTAACTACCTCGCCTGGTCTACAGGAGGTCTGTGTCTCTCTCATCATCATCACGGTGGCTATGAGATGTTAACTACCTCGCCTGGGCTACAGGAGGTCTGTGTCTCTCATCATCATCACCACGTTGGCTATGATATGTTAACTACCTCGCCTGGTCTACAGGAGGTCTGTGTCTCTCTCTCATCATCGTCACGGTGACTATGAGATGTTAACTACCTCGCCTGGTATACAGGAGGTCTGTGTCTCTCTCTCATCATCATCACCACCACGGTGGCTATGAGATGTTAACTACCTCGCCTGGTATACAGGAGGTCTGTGTCTCTCTCTCATCATCACCACGGTGGCTATGATATGTTAACTACCTCGCCTGGTCTACAGGAGGTCTGTGTCTCTCTCTCATCATCACCACGGTGACTATGAGATGTTAACTACCTCGGTCTGTGTCTCTCTCTCTCATCATCACCACGGTGGCTATGAGATGTTAGCTACCTCGCCTGGTCTACAGGAGGTATGTGTCTCTCATCATCACCACCACCACGGTGGCTATGAGATGTTAACTACCTCGCCTCGTCTACAGGAGGTCTGTGTCTCTCATCATCACCACGGTGACTATGAGATGTTAACTACCTCGCCTGGTCTACAGGAGGTCTGTGTCTCTCTCTCTCATCATCATCACGGTGACTATGAGATGTTAGCTACCTCGCCTGGTCTACAGGAGGTCTGTGTCTCTCTCTCATCATCATCACGGTGACTATGAGATGTTAGCTACCTCGCCTGGTCTACAGGAGGTCTGTGTCTCTCAACATCATCACCACGGTGGCTATGAGATGTTAACTACCTCGCCTGGTATACAGGAGGTCTGTGTCTCTCTCATCATCACCACGGTGGCTATGAGATGTTAACTACCTCGCCTGGTCTACAGGAGGTCTGTGTCTCTCTCATCATCATCACCACGGTGACTATGATATGTTAGCTACCTCACCTGGTCTACAGGAGGTCTGTGTCTCTCTCATCACCACGGTGACTATGAGATGTTAACTCCCTCGCCTGGTCTACAGGAGGTCTGTGTCTCTCTCATCATCACCACGGTGGCTATGAGATGTTAACTACCTCGCCTGGTATACAGGAGGTCGTGGGTTCCACCCCGACCCTGCTGCTGCTGCTGTCTCTGTGCAGTCTGCATCTCTCTCCCCGTGGTGGTCGCTGCGTGGATTTTGTCTCCGGCTCCTCCTCCGTTTGTCCCCTCCACGTTCAGAGTCGACGTCGCCACGCTCGGTCAGAGTCTTTGGCTGCTGCTGCTGCTGTCAATGTCCACGTGACGATGATGATGACGTCAGCTCAGAGGGGCCTTACACCTGATAACTATAAACATGGGTCTCTGTGGGGTCTCTATGGGTATATGTGGGTCTCTATGGGTCTCTGGGTTGTGCTGCTGTTCCAGGCTAGGTGCAGGAGGAGGTCACGGGACAGATCAAGCAGGTGCCGTGGGTTGACTGAGATGAGCGGTCGATGCACCATCACCTTTACCCCCTGCTGTGCCAGGCTAGGTGCACCACCTGTACCCCCTACTGTGCCAACTCGCTGCGTTTTATCCGCCCAGTGCTCCGCTCGTTGTTGTGAGCGTCGCTCCTCTACACCCCGTTGTTACTGGAGGGCGACTGCCTCCAACTGCCCAGTAGCAGCAGCAGCAGTAGCGTCCTTCACGAGCCTCCTCCTCCACAGTGGCCGACCTTGACACCGCTGGTACCAGTCGTCGGCAAGTCCACTCAGCTCCACGTCCTCCTGTACCACATCACTCCACCTCTTCTCTAGCCCGTGCCGCGCCCGTTTAGCCCTCTCTATGGGGCCAAACAGAAGCTGCTTGGGCATGCGGTGGCTGGGCATGCGGGCTACATGACCCAGCCAACGCAGCCTTGCCTGCCGGAGGAGTTCACCGATGGGACTGTGTCCAGATCCTTCAAGGATTTGTGAGCTCCTCACACAATCCAGCCTGCAGGTTAAACCCAGGATGGATCGTAGGCAGGGACCAGCCTAAATGTTTCTAACCGATGAAGATTTTTCCATTATGGGGGTCCACGTTTCGCAAGCGTAGAGAAGGGAGGGAATGACCGTGGCCGAGAAGACCTGAAGCTTCGTGCGGAGCGACAGACCAGGTAGCTTCCACACAGCGTTACGCAACCGATGAAAAGATATTGCCGCTCGACTGATTCGGAGCGAGACCTCTGCTGTTAAACTGGAGCCGGTCATGAGCACACTGCCCAGGTATGGGAAACTCTCCACTCTCTCCACAACTGCCCCATCACCGATTGGGAGTTGTGGGGGTGGAGTGTCCGATGGTACAAAATACCCAGGCAGGTGCTTAGTTTTGGTGGGGCTGATGGTAAGGCCCCAGCCCTTAGTGCCACGCTCCAGTCTCAGCAGCAGCGCCTCCAACTCCTCCTCTGAGTGAGCAGCAATCACCAGATCACCGGCATACATAACGTGGTTGAGCAATAGGGAGCCAGAGACAAACATAAACACACAAAGACACACACACAGACACACACAGACACACACACAGACACACAC